TGGGGAATTCTGGGAGTTGAAGTCCACTCATCTTAAAGTGGCCAAGTTTGGACAACACTGTACTAAACGATCCTATAGTTTGCTGAGTTTGACTTACTGCCTGCACCCAGCCATGGTTTGTAGCTTAGCCTGTCACATGAACCCAGCAATTGTAATTTATTCATTGTTAAGGAAAAAAATAGCATAAGAAAGCGTATTCAGTCTACAGATGTTCATATGTTAGATAGATATGATGTTCTGTTGGCATATAGAAAGCCAGGGCTAAAATCCCACCACCAGGAAAAATGGAATCTGACATTCCCTTGACAATATACATGGGTTTGCACGACACAGTCAGAAACCAAGACCTACGTTCTAGCTTAAACTGATGGGCAAACCCACCCTTGGTCGTTCGTTTATGATTCAGTGTGCTGTACAAATCTGAAAAATAAATTCATTAATTCGTTCATCCATCCATCAGTACTTATAACCCACTCAGAAGCATACAAGTTTAATAAGTTACTATTACCATTATTATCTTGGGGGGGTGAGGGGCCAATAAGGCCAAGATGGCAGTGGCAGCCATGTGATCAAATCCTCACCCCAACACACACAGAAAAGGGGTGAGTCTTCAGTCGTGTGGGCGCAGCTGCCATCTTGACTTTTTTGACCCCTTCTGCCCCCTGCTTAACCCCTATATCCTGAAGGACCCTGACAGCATGTAACATGCAACGAAAAGAAAAGCTGCCTTGTCATTTTATATCTTTTATTAAATTAAAAGCTACATTTTATTATGAGCCACCCAGAGTCACTTCTTCGCGAGATGGGCGGTGTCTAAATTCAAAATATAAATAAATACATACATAAATAAAATAAATAGCTAGCTAGCAAAATCTGAACTGTGTCGAAACCAAAAATAACCAAAGACAAGGTAAAACCCCAGATAAAACCTGAGAGGTGCTCACAGTTAGTCAGTTGGGACTGACAATGCTGTGAAATACCTGTTTTGTCTAACCTGTTTTGGTAATTGAAGCATAGCCCTCTGGGCATTGTGCTATGAACATAACTGGCGTTTTCCGTTTAACCAAAGGTGGTTTTCCTTGGGGTTGGTGCACATGTGGGTCTCCAATGCATTCACCTTTCTCTATCCTTGCATCTAGGGCAATGGAGGATGCAGTTTCAAATCATTCCCACCTTCCCCACCCCACAAATCACTTGGACAAGCTCGGATTTGTCTGCCCAACGGCCCCGGCTGACCTCCGTGCACTGCTGAAAAGGATTCCTTCGTCCATTGAGGAAAACCATTCCCCCCCCAAGACCCCCATCCTGCAACAGGTAACAATGAGAAAGCCTGATAGCCATCTCCAACTGTAAACCAGGTGTGACAATTTTACTACTTTTTTCCAATGGGTATTTAAGGGGGGGGAAAAAACCCAAACTTGTAATCTCTACAAATATCTGCAGGTTAGTCAAGTTCCTACCTTTTTCAGGAAGGTGATCTGCTTTTAATTAACACTTAGC